ACTTCTTAAGCATTTCAAAATAGGTTTGAGGAATATGTGTGAACCTAGGATGCCAAAGAGTAATGATAAAATAAATAAATAAAAAGAAAAATTGAAAAGAATTGCGCGGCATGTGTATGTATATATATTTTTCTTTCTTTCTCTTTTTTTCTTCATTTTTTTCCCGCTAAGTTGTGGCAACAAAATAATCAAATACAATCTATGTTTAGAACAGTAAATAATGTAATCAAATTAAACCTCCAAGATATTCTAAGAAGCTACAGTAACTAAAATAGGGTCAATTCGACCATGCCAGCACAACTTAAGAAAGCCAAAAAATCAAGAAATTTGCCCGAATGACTTCGGAAGATGATTTGTAGCCTCAAGAAGGAAGGGAGTTGGAACTTGACTTTGGTAACAATTGGTGTAAAATGAAAAGGAGAACAAGGGAAGAGAGAGAAAGAGAGGGAGAGGCCGAAAAAATAGGAACACTTATTATTCAATACTCTCATTACTAAAAAATAATATAAATGAGGAATCCTAAGGCTATTTATAGAGCCATAGAAATAATAAAATAATAATAAATTTAAATCTAAATCAGATAAAAATGTAAAAAATGACAATCATGCATCTAGCTAGTCTAGATATATAATATTTTAATATTTAATAATTTAAATATTATTATTTATAAATATTTATCTAAAATTTATAAATTATTTTTTAAACATTAACAACTACAACTAATTTTTCAGAAATTTATAAATGATTTGCAAATTATATGTAGAGATTTATAAATTATTATTATTATTATTATTATTATTATTATTATAGAAAATGACCTTGCAAGAAAATTAATATTAATTAGGTCTTTTGAAAATATTTAATATTTTAATAATATTTTATTAAAATAAATACTTATAAAATTTTATTTTAATAAGATTTTAAAGTGTCCAGCACTCCTGAAAAAAGAGTGCAGGGGACAATTAGCACTTTACCACTGCAATAAAAAATCATGTCATGGTCAATTGAACCCACATGTAAATTGAAAGATAAAATTGCTCTTCCAAAAAAATGATTTAGTGCAAGGTGCTTAACTCTCCACGGAAAAATGTTCAAGAAAAAATTGGTTTTTAATCATATAAATATTACCAGATTTATTAACCTTATGCTTAGGTTGATATTTATGCAATTGAAGAAAAGCGCAATTAAAATGCCAAGAGCTGTGGAGTTGATTAATTGCATGGATCTTCAAGTTTTGTCCTATATTTCGGACGAAAGGGAACAAGGTAATCAATCATTCACCAAATATTTATGGCCTTGTCGAGAATACCATTTAGTTTAAAAACCATGGCCAGCTACCATTCTCTGTTTTTTTTTTTTTTAATGCCTATCCCAACTAACCTTTTCCTTTGGTTTCAATATTAATTTGTAAAAGGCCCAAAAAAAATTTCAATGATTTTTGTCTTTGCCATATTAAAGGATTTTTTTAAAAAAATAATTGAAGTTGTTTTTAGTGAAAATGGTATCTTCAAATCCCTATGCGGCCAAACCCAAAAAAGAAAAAATATCAAGTTTTTTTTTTTTAATAGTTAGACAAGTTTACTAGAAACTAGAAAGTATTAGCACTTATTGCAACAAATCACTAGCCGTTACAATAGCCAGCAAGCACACTCCATCCCCATCCCATCCTAATTATAAGGTTAAATTAACTAATTTCATATATTTTTCAAGAATGATAATTAATATGTCCTTAAACTTGTAAAAAAATATTTGACTTTTTAATTTTGCCTTCATCAAAATTAGTAACTACAATAACACTACTACAAAAAAAAACTTTTCATATTATTTTTTTAGGGCATTTCATATCCCTATCATAAGGGACATAGATCAGGGCGACTTAAAAAGTTGACTCATCTACGTCACTTTCATGAGGGATATTAATAGCATAAATCATACCGCTTTTATACAAAAAGGGGCGTGATTTCTCCCTAGAAACCAAGTCGCTTTAATTATAAAAGTAATGTCATTAATGTAAATTACATCTCCTTTTATAAAAGTGACATTTATTTTTTTAAAATAGGTATTTAGTTTTTTTTTTTTGCAGCCAATTGAACTTATAAATTTTTACAACAGCAGCAACAAGATAAGCATATAAACCAATAGAACACAAAAATCATTATTTATTTAAGTGTTTAATATTTATAATATAATTAAAGTCCAACAAACTATAATAATATACTACGTAGAGTTTCTAACAATCTAACTTTTTTAATAAATCTAACTAAAATTCTAATTATAATCAGTAAAGCACTAGTACAAAATAAAATTTTAATGATACATTTTTTACAATAAGTTGACAAAAAACTGTGGTAATAAGATATTAAGTGGCAAATATATCAATAAGTCAAAAGGTGGAGCATTTACAGTGACACGCACACAAATGGACCATCACCATAAATATGTCTAAACTAATATCACATTAAATGTGTATGACATCAGATACATTAAATGAAATTTAATAAAATAATTAAATTACTTAATTAAATTTATTTATTTATGATATTCTTAATTACATTTATGGCGACAGACACCAAAGGGACCTCTCACCATAAATAACAAAAAATGTCTAATTTCATACCACAATTAAAATATCTAAAATCAAATACATTAAATAAAATGTAATTAAGAAATCAAATTAAGAAATAAAATTAAATGACTAATTCATTACATAATTTAATATTATTAAAATTAAATTATGATTTAATTAATTAAGTTAATAAATTTAAGTTATTAATTATTAACTGAAAATCATTAATTATTATTAATTTAATAAATAAATTAAATTAATTACATTATTTATTATAATATGATTTAAAATGTCTGAACATCAACCATTTATGGTGACAGGTCTGCAATAAACCTATCGCCAAAAATGATTAAAGCACATTAAAACAGTGTTATTCATTTATGGTGACAGGTGTTTATTTAACCTGTCGTCATAATTGTGTCTAATTTCAGACATTTTTGCCTGAAATTAGATAAATTATATGAAATTTAATTTAAAAATTAAATTAATTAATAAAATTAAATTTTTAGTTAACTAATTAAATAATAATTTTAAAATTGAATTCTTAATTAATTAATTTAATAAATTTGAGCTATTAATTATTAACTAAAAATAATTAATTATTAATTATTTAATGAATAAATTAAATTAATTATATTATATATTAATTATATGAAATATAGCATCTTTCATCATAGGTCAAGCTTGGACCTGCAGCATAAGTAAGGAGGAAGGAAAATTGGGAAAAAACTGCTAAAAATAAAAAAATTATTATTTTTAAAAATGTCTCCTCCTAGTTTTATTTTCCTCCCTATTTTCTCCCCTTCTGCTCTTCATCCAATTCAAAAGTCTTAAACAAATTTCGTGGACTGCTTCCTACAGTAACCAATATTGTTTTGTTTGTTATCCTTACGAGTTAATAATTTTGTTCCTGTAGTTCCCTTGGATCATTTTTATAAGTCATGATAACTACTTGTTTATATTAAGAAAATTAGTTAAATTAGTTCGATGCATTTACAACTTCCTAAAGTTATCCTATAATTCGTATAGTTTATTAGCAAGGGAGGGACGGATGATAAAAATTCCATTAATTAAGAATAAAAGAGCCAAAGAGAATTTTTAAAATTAACTTACAAATATTTAATGAAATTTTGTGAAAAGATCTTGTATTAAGGACTAGCAGATAAGGTCTTATAAATAGGATAGAAGGGAGTAACATTTTTTAGTAATGAATATTTACTTTTTTAAAAACAAAAATACTTTTGAAGATTATAGAAAATTTTAATTTAATAAAAAAAGAAAAAATAATTTTGTATTTAATATGATATTTACAATTTTGTCAAATTTTTTTTTTGTAAACTCTATATGTATAAAAATTGTTTGGAATAAGGTATAAAAATTCAAATATATAACAGTTTAATAAGATGTTATTAAAAAAATATAATATTTTTTAATTACTTATCATCGTAGTTGTCAAACTCTTAAGTTGACTTTACGAGTTTAATGTTTTTATGTTTTTAATTTATAAAATCGTGTCAACTCACTCATAAACTCGAACTAAATACAAACTCAGTTAAACTTGTGAGTTTATCATTTTTATATTTCTAACATACAAAATCATGTAAATTAATTCATAAACTCAAAATAGATGCAAGCTTAGTTAAATTTTTTGAGCTCGTCAATGTTTTTTTTTAGTTGAGCGAGTTAAGTATATACTATAAAAAATTCAGTTCATAAAAATTATAAGATCTGTTTCAAAGAAAAAAACTTGAAATGCAAAAATTAATATTAATAAAAAAGAAAAAAAATACCAAAAATGAGTTCCTATATTTTTAAAATTTTTATGTCTTGTATATGATAATTTATCATTGTAGATGGATTTAATTTCAATGACTTATATTTTTAAAATATTTAAATTAACTTACAATTATATTTTAATAGCTATTTGTTAATAGAGATAAATTCTTACTAGTTTACAATTTGAGTTTATGATACGAGTTTATATTCCTGTGATAAGTTTATTTTAACTCACGAATTTAACAACTTTGCTTATCAAAGTTTCTAACAGAAGTGATCATTTCCTTGAGTTCACAAATGACAATATAGATATTCATGAAGTATCTATCTATTTATAATTGACTTTCTATACATATTCACAAGCAATTTTTCTTGAGTTCACAGCTATCTTTTCTTAAATTCAAGAGTGACCTTCTATTGGTATATTCAATAATTAAAAGTATGTTAATTTCAAGATTATGATCCTTTTCTAGCATTTCAATATTTTGAGATCTTCAATTGTTATAATTAATGTCTTTACAACATGCACAATTCTCATTTTCCCGGAGAAGAAAATAAAGAAGAAAACTGAGAGGTGGCATCCAACAAATAGTGCTTGTATAATTATAGAGAAAGCAGTCTACCAATTTAACTAGAGCTTGAAAGTTATACAAGAGCTTTAATTTTGAGCTCCACCTTTGATTAAGGAGATGAGAGAACATATTGTTTGGATCGAAGTGAAGAGAAGCATCATAATTCCACCCAACAAAGACAACCTTTTCCAAGGAGTGCTCCAGTATTTACGCACAAAATTTGCCTTATGCTGGTGACAAGGGTTCTTATAAAATTTGTCCAGCTCTGCAAATAGAGCGCCGTAATTAGTGTTGTTGCCTATTGCCCAAGTATTTTGGGGAAGTTTGATGATCATGGTAGCCACATCATCATTATCCCCTAAAATGTTCTCGATGATTCCCTTTTCAACAAGAATTTCGACATCCTTTCCAGCTTTGATAAGATAAAACAAGAGTAGCACGTGGTCAGTAACATAATGCTTCATAAAAGAGTGATGACACTGCTCAAACGCAACCAAATTTCTGAGCATAATCTCAGTCAACGCATTAATCCCAATAACTGGCATTTTGATGACTCCCTCTGAACATTCCAGCTGAAATATGCCTTTGTCTTGATGAACTTCAAATTTGAGTCCTGCCTCATGTAGTTGATTTACAGTACATGAACACTTCACTGTCATATTCGGGTCTATTGATCTTGCTGGAGGATTACTTGGCACGTAAAAGGCCCTTAACATACCACACAGGTGTTCCACTTTCTTCCTATCACCATTAGGGAGTTTCAGGTGATGTTCTTCAAGATAACCATATGATGACACAAGGTTCCCAAAAATTTCATTCTTGGCAGGATATATACTTGATAGGATGGACAAACAAAAATTTCTGTAGGTAAGCTCGCGAAATGAGACGTTGTCACTTAAGCCGTGGGGAAAAGCTAGGTTGAAAAGGCCCTCAAGAACAAAGAATGGTATTTGATTTTCAAGTAAAATCAAGTCTCGCATTATATCAAGTCTTGGCCATTTTTTCTCCAACAAAGTGTATCTGTCTTCATTTGATTCACCTCTATCTGCTAGAAAGACTGCAACAAACAACTCAATGATAAAACAAGCATCAGTAAGAATCATGCTTACAAATTTATCCCTCCCCATTGGTATTAACTCCGAATAGCAGCCACGAATCTGAGCTTCCCAACCTCTCACAGTGTCAACATAATCATCTGACGAATGCTTCGAATCAGTCCTCTTCACGAATTTGTCACGGTAAGATAATTTGAGCCCTTTCATTGACGCCAATCTTTTGTTTTGATGGCGAAAGGGACCAACGGAAACCGATGAAGGAGTGTAGGCTTTTTCATTCACTTCGCGAACTCTCAGTGGCACTCTGTAGATGCAACAACTTGATGCTAAGGGATGCCCCGTCGAGTCTATTATTACTGACTCGGCTTCAGGAGAGTTTAACAAGGGATTTTGTTCAGATTCTAGGTCTGAAGCACTTTCTTCTTTCTCCATTCTTTTAATCTGCAAGAGCTTGGCACAAAAAAATAAAAAAATAAAAAACTGAGAGAGATTTTATGGATTGAAAATGTTCTTTTTGTGCTGCTAACAAATAAAAGAAACTAATAGTTCTAGATTTTTAAAATATTTTCTCTCCCTTCTATTTGAATGGACATGATGAGAAGACGTAAACACACTTAATTAAGAAAATAAAGTGACTAATTTTACAATGATAATAATTCCCATATAAAAAGGTATAGGCTCTCTGCTTCTTTTTGTACCCTTCAACAAAATTTCGAAAATTATATTTTCCATCTAAAATCTCTTCATTACCTCTCCTCCTCTATTTTTCCTTCTGATTTCTCTTTTAGTTTTTCTCTGCACCCAAACATAAGGTCAGTGTGTTATAGGATAGAATAAAAGAATGATACAAAATTAAATTTCAAAATTATCATCTATATATGTAATAAAATTCTGCTTTCCTTCATTGATGAGTGGGTTCTAGGTTTTAGCAATTCTGATTTTCATTAATTCTTTTATTTATCAAAGATTATTCTTAATTATACAATTTCATTAGCTCTCAAAAGTTTAATTAGCCTTTACTTGCATTTCTTTGACAAGTTTTTTAGTTTTTTTAATATTACATAATTTGTTCGATCACTGTGAAGACTCGACTTCTGATGTATAACATTTTGGAAAGAAAAAAAAAAGGCCGTGCTGACTTTCATATGTCGTACGGAACTTAGCCACAAAAAAAAAAGGTGATCTTTGAACCTAATATTGAAAAGCAACTAAATTATATAATGGAATAAAAAGAAAACACAAAAAGTTAAAAATTAGCAAATATAAGAAAAAGTAATGGGTAATAAAACAATGAGATAACTAACCTGATACTTTGATTGATCTTCAGGAAACTAAAGAGAAAATAGCTCCTATCATTACACTCGTCGATCAAGTTCTTTAATTTACCAATTCTATGCAATGACACACACACACATATACAGTTATCAAGCCGACTTCAAGTACTGTTTGCTTAATTTGAGCATGAAGCTACACTTATCTTCATGTTGATAGCTTATTTTGTTCTCTTTTTCTTCCATAGTGCTTTTCTTTTTCTTTTTCTTTTTCTTTTTTCTCCAGGTAAAAAAAAAAAGAATGTGTGTGATGCACAAGTTCATATATAGTTTATTTTATTCTCTTTTTCTTCTGTTGAGCTTTTCTTTTTCTTTTTTATTTTATTTCTCCTTTTCTTCAAGGCGAATGTGAGAGTATGATTCATGTAAATTGGTAATTAGGCCTTAAATAATTACAATATTCAAGAAGCTAGCTCATATTGAACTAAAATTGATGCTCTGTAGAACGGCATCACATCTTAACTTATCAAAGCCTTAAAGTTCAGCGTTAAATCATTCAGCTTTGTTTTATATTAATTATTAAGCTTTATCCAATATGAAACTTTCACTTTGATTCAAGTCCACTTATATTTAGACAACCTAAGTGCGACCTTAACCAAGCTTCTAATCCCTTGTTTATAATGTCCTAGATTTTATATTCACCAAGTTGAATACTTATAACACATTCCTTAAATTAATTACGCAATGTCTTGTATAAGTAATTGAGGAGAAATAATTACCCAATTTAGTTGTGATATTTGATTGTATGGGGCCTCTATTTGTATCCTAAGTAAATCAAATCAAAGATCTAATCCTTTTTGTTTTTGGTCTGCCAATTCGAACTTGCAATGTGCAGGTTGGGTGTGTAGCACACTAACCAACAAGCTACAAGTTTTCATGGCAATCAAAGATCTAATCCTATACTTCTCTAGTCCTATTTATAAAGTAAAGAGAGAATATTAATTTTGGTCCTATTTATAAAGCACTATACTATTTTTTTTATTTATCTTTACCTTTTTGCCTTTATTAAATGCTAAAAAAATTTAAAAAATAATTATTTTTATCCTTGTTAAAAGGAAAAGGTGAAAACTTATTAAATTTTAAGATAAAGCTAATGAGATTTAAATTTTTTTTAGTTTTGATAAAATATATTAGAAATAACTTATAAATAAGACAAACGGGAGTATTACTTAATTTTTCAGTTTTTGTTAACTGGTTTAGATTAAATAAATTGAAACAAGTCAAATGAGCAATGTGCCAAAGTGGAGGTTAATTAATAATATGAAGCAAATATGTGGTAATTTAAATTTGATCTACACCTCGCAGGGATGAATATAACCAAATATTGAGTCACAATATTTGACAGCTTGTATTCAGGAATTTGGCGCATGTACTTTGCTGATTTGTCGAAAAATGAAAAAGTATAAGACAAAGACAAAAGAGTAAAGAAAAATGAAATTTAAGGAACTTAAGAACATTAATTTACCAACAGGAGATAGGTCTAGCAGAAGAGACGAATCTCTCATAATGTGGTGAACTAAAGTTTGAATTCTTGCTAAGAGATATACTCGCATTTATTGTTTAATTGTACTTCGAATAAGATTGCCTCCAATAGAAGGTTATATCTTTGAGCAATCCAAAAAAAAAAAACCTTCAAATTTTGAAATTTCATAAAAAGGCTATGGTCCTTGGCTAAAATTAAAATTTTTCTGAATTAATTTTTCCAATATTGTTGATCTTGCAAACTTTCAATAATTATTTTTAACCTTTTTAGTATTGAATCTTTCAATTATGTTTTTAATTAATACTTGGCACAGAAACTAAATGGAAGAAAAATACTCCGGTTTATTGCGTCAAGTCGTGATGTTTATAAGGAAATGAGGACTCCTATTTATACTACTCTGATGCTTAAACTAAGAGCTAAAAAATAAATGGCAATTGACAGATTACAAATGTGTTTTTATTTTAGTTATTGGTGGTATTGCAATTGACATGAACGGACGACTGTTTCTTCTCCCATTCACTGCTGCTGTCGTTCTATTTCAATACTTGTATTTCATGTTTATATTATTGAAAAGAATCAAAGACATGTATTGAAAACATTTAAAATTATTACTGAAAAAATTGAACAACTAGCTGAAAATGCTTTAGATGAGTTATTAAACTGTGGAAGATGAGTATTTAAAATCTGAAAAACATGTACTAAAAATATAAAAGATGAGCACTAAAAAATTCACATAAAATTTTAATTTTAACCAAAACTCAGTCTCTCCTGAAATTTTAAAATTTTAGAATGTTTAACTGTAATTAATATTTTCTGAGTGTTCTTAAATAGTTTTTTTTTTTTTAAGAGAAAAGAAAGGAAGAGAGAGAGCGAGAGAGAGACCAAACATGAGGTGTCTATGTCTATGGCAACGCCGAAGCAACAACAGACAAAATTTACTCCTACATGAAGATTGGCACAAAAGATCACATGTATATCGGAAGAATGTCTCTTCAGTACTTCATTTTTTCCTTTATCAAAGAAGAAGAGGAAAGGAAAGAAATAAAAAGAGAAGGTTCTAAACAACCTTGTTCATGAATTAAGGTTGGTTAGTTATTCAATTTAGCTTATAAATTAGAATGTCGTGTTACACATGTTTTATAATTGCCCTTTAATAACAAGTATAAAGCCATCTATGTGCTGCTCCCTCAAAAGACAAAAGAAAAGAAAAGCTTCTTCATTTGCTGCGATTGCTTTACTCTTCATCACTATAATTTGATGCACACATGCATTTTGTTCTTTCATTCCCTTTTCATAACAAGTAGGTTTCAAGCTTTTGAACAGCCAATACAAACATTAAAAGTGAAAGAGACAGATAATAAAAATTTAATTGATTAAAAACTCCATTAACTAAGAGTGAAAGAGACAATGAGAATTTTTTAAAATAAGCTACAAATTTTTAATGAAATTTTGTAGAAGATCTTGCGTTAAGTGCGAACAGATAAGGTCTTATTAATAAAATAGGAGTGAATAACTTTTTTTTTAGGAAAAATTAATCTACATGTTCTTATAGCTTTTTCCATATAAGCGCACTTCATATCCTAATTTCTTTTTTTTTTTTGCATGATATTACCCCAATGTTTTTCAATTTGCTACAATGCCCTAATATCATTTTTAATTGAATAACGCCTCCCATTAAATTAATTAACTTTCTATAAAATAATATTATTTTTTCATATCTGCTCCCATTTAATAAGGTGTCTTACTTAAAATTGATTGGTTGAGTGGTATATTTATTAAGGATAGTTTTGAAAAAAAAACTTATTAATTGCACATTAAACAACTAAAAATACTTTATATATTTTAACATCTAACTTCAAAAAAATACCTTATATTTTTTAATAGATTAGAAGAAGTAATAATTATTTAATTCTTAATAGGACTATTCATTCAGCTTGTGGTCTTCCAAGCACCTAACAACAATCCAATTGGTCCAACCAAGTTGGGCTATACTTGATTTTTTTCATGTATTTTAAAAAGGACTTTTTGTGAAACTTTTGAAAAAGGATTTGAGGCTGTTTATAGCCCATCTAAATTATTGACTATAACTATTGGAGCCTATATATAATGATGGGCTGGGGCCTAACATTATCGTATTATCTTATAAATCATAAAATATTTTAAAAAATTACTGTTTGAGGAACAGTAAAATTAATAGTAATTACAGGATCCACCAACACTTTTAAATAGAATTTTAATTTTTTTTCTCAACCTTTTTGTTACAATATATTTTTGTTGTACTTATTTTTTATTTTTAAAAAAAAATTAAAGCATGTTTGACCCAAATTATTAACACTTAAAAATTATTTTTATATTATATTTTTAAGCTATTATACTAACATATATTTCATTTG